TGTTTTCATAGTGTTGTGTGGACCAGGTTAAAGTTAGTAAATAAGTGACTTGGTGCCACAGAGTCTGCATTCCATTATGTCGAAGTAGATTACTGATGTTTATGGTCGCACGATTGACTGATAGGATAAACTGCCTTGGGGGACAAGAGAATAACATATAATATATATAATATAATATGCCATTTAGCAGACGCTTTTATCCAAAGCGACTTACAGTCATGCGTGCATACATTTTTTGTGTATGGGTGGTCCCGGGGATCGAACCCACTACCTTGGCGTTACAAGCGCCGTGCTCTACCAGCTGAGCTACAGAGGTCCAGAGAACATCAAAGAAGGGAGTGCCCATTGAGGGTTACCAGATGTGGTTGAAGAAATGTGTAACAGAGGGTCTCTTTGTTCAAGTTAGTTTGGAATAGCAAAAGGCAGAGCCCTGTCTGTTTGTTATAACGAACCATGGTACCTATTAAATACTTATATGAACTCCCCAGCTAAATGTTAAATATCTTCTTGCGTAATGAATTACTTGATACCCTAGAAACACATCATAACAAGACCTGTTCAACAGATCCTGAAGAACTTCAACCTCATCATCCCCCCTCTGTAAGACTGTCGCTATCGTTGGAGAATCAGGAGGAGGTAATGTCCCATGCATTTCCATGGATACAAACACTCAATTAGTCTGATTACATAAACAAAGGGCCTATAATGAGATTGTAGAAACATTAGTCTGAAAATAGTATAATTATGTGGAACCTAATGATATATTTATGAAACTTATGTGATTAGTTATGGCTCTCCTACACTGCAGGGAAGTTCCACAGTGGCCTCCTTGCTGGAGCGTTTCTATGACCCCAGCAGTGGTGTGATCATGTTGGACGGCTGGATATCCGGACACTGGACCCATCCTGGCCCAGAGGTCAAGTTATTGGATTAATCAATCAGGTAAATATCCTAGGGTAATCATACTACACACACAGCTTTATATGTTTTCTAGTGCATATGAGGATAGTTTTGGGGGGGATTTGTTCTAGGATCTGTCTTCAGGAGCTGTGTTAGTATGCTTAGTTGCTACCCTCAGTATGACATGGCCTTTTTCTGTGATTTTGTCATAACACTAAAAACAAAGTTACTTTGTGTACATTTTCCTCCCCTGCTTGCAGGAGCCTGTGCTGTTTGGGTCCTCTGTGATGGAGAACATTTGCTTTGGTAAGCGGGGGCTACTGATGCTGAGGTCATCAACGCTGCCAAGCAGGCTAACGACCAACACTTCATCACAGGCTTTCCAGATGGATACAACCCTGTGGTTGGTAAGTGACAACACATTTGTGAGAAAAACATAGATTTTTGAGTGCGTCTCCCAGTACGGCCCAGAACATTATAACGTCCTCTGATTTATTACAACTCTATACCACTATAATAAAAAAAATACACACATACTCAATGCATTCCCCTTTTCTCAATCAATCAATCAAATGTATTTATAAAGCCCTTTTTACATCAGCAGTTGTCACATAGTGCTTTTATAGTAAGTGCTTTTATTGAATACCGTATCTCTGCGGACACACAGGTATCTTCTCTTCCTAGGCTGGAACTCATATGGAATTGCTGAGCAAAGGAGGGCTGTATGCTGACCTCATCCGCAGGCAGAGATCAGAGGGACAGAAGTGAACACTACTTTGCAGAGCTGCCAACTCTCACGCATTGGCCGTGAGACACACGCACGCATTTTACCCTCTTCTCACACTCTCACCACACCTCTTATATCTCACGATTTGTAAAGTACTATGTTTATTTTTCTAATTAGTCCATTGTATAGTCAGCGCGTTAACGTTTCAACTGTGCTCCAAATCGTATTGAAATCGTAACATCTGCTCCTGCAATTTAACATCACGAGCAGAATCTCTATCATTGTACTATCATTGTCCTGTCTTGCGCAGCACTGTGAACCGCATTGAAGCATATGATTGGTCTAGTTATGTAAAGGATCAAGGGGATTGGATGCGCATTTTAAAGAAACGCCCCTCAAGATTAGAGTGGAGTTGAATGGAGAGCGAAAATTCTCTGCTGAGTTTATAAATCTGTAAAAAGAGAAGCACGGTAGCACTGTTTCATGTACAATGTTTTCAACAAAATTAGGTTGCTGTTACTCCCGCCCCTATTGCATAATGCAGCCTTCTGACAGCATGTGCTAAAGTCGATTTAATTCACACTTGCATTAGTCCCCTCGTTTGGTGATTGGCATTTAGGCTGTGACAACGAAAAGGCAGCAGACGTTGGGAAGTTTGGTGACCTGATTTGTAACTATGAAAATAATTTTGTCAAACAGATTATGAACCAAAAAGTATACGTTTGATTCTAGAGGGGGGGGGGACGTTAAATATAAAATAATTTGGGTAGACTGTAGGGACAGATTCATCAGGAGATTGTATTAGCTACATTTATTTACTTTATTTAGTCTGATCAGTGGAACAATTCTCATTCTTAACAATGGGCTAACATATAGGGTAATTACTGTGCTTGTGAGCAAGAACACTACTGTTATTCCCCACAGTTATTTGAATATTCCACTAATCACATATTTGAAATGTGTTATGCCTGCAGTGCCTTCGGAAAGTATTCAGACCCCTTGACCTTTTCCACATTTTGTTACCTTACAGCCTTATTCTAAAATTGATTAAATTCTTGTTTTTTCCCTCATCAATCTACACACAATACCCCATAATGACAAAGGAAAAACTGTTTTTTAGAATTTTTTGCAAATGTATTAAAAATGAAAAACAGAAATATGACATTTACATAAGTATTCAGACCCTTTACTCAGTACTTTGTTGAAGCACCTTTGGCAGCGATTACAGCCTTGAGTCTTCTTGGGTATGACGCTACAAGCTTGGCACACCTGTATTTGGGGAGTTTCTCCCATTCTTCTCTGCAGATCCTCTCAAGCTCTGTCAGGTTGGATGGGGAGCGTCGCTGCACAGCTATTTTCAGGTCTCCAGAGACGTTCTATCGGGTTCAAGTCCGGGTTCTGTATGGGCCACTCAAGGACATTCAGAGACTTGTCCCGAAGCCACTCCTGCGTTGTCTTGGCTTTGTGCTTAGGGTCGTTGTCCTGTTGGAAGGTGAACCTTCGCCCCAGTCTGAGGTCCTGTGTGCTCTGGAGCAGGTTTTCATCAAGGATCTCTCTGTACTTTGCTCCGTTCATCTTTCCCTCGATCCTGACTAGTCTCCCAGTCCCAGCCACTGAAAAACATCCCCACAGCATGATGCTGCCACCACCATGCTTCACCGTAGGGATAGTGCCAGGTTTCCTCCAGACGTGACGCTTGGCATTCAGGCCAAAGAGTTCAATCTTGGTTTCATCAGACCAGAGAATCTTGTTTCTCATGGTCTGAGAGTCCTTTAGGTGCCTTTTGGCAAACTCCAAGCGGGCTGTCATGTGCCTTTTACTGAGGAGTGGCTTCCGTCTGGCCACTCTACTATAAACGTCTGATTGGTGGAGTGCTGCAGAGATGGTTGTCCTTCTGGAAGGTTCTCCCATCTCCACAGAGGAACTCTGGAGCTCTGTCAGAGTGACCATTGGGTTCTTGGTCACCTCCCTGACCAAGGCCCTTCTCCCCAATTGCTCAGTTTGGCTCGGCGGCCAGCTCTAGGAAGAGTCTTGGTGGTTCCAAACTTCTTCCATTTAAGAATGATGGAGGCCACTGTGTTCTTGGGGACCTTCAATGCTGCAGACATTTTTTGGTACCCTTCCCCAGATCTGTGTATCGACACAATCCTGTGTCGGAGCTCTACAGCCATTTCCTTCGACCTCACGGCTTGGTTTTTGCCCTGATATGCACTGTCAACTGTGGGATCTTATATGGTGTGTGCCTTTCCAAATCATGTCCAATCAATTGAATTTACCACAGGTGGACTCCAATCAAGTTGTAGAAACATCTCAAGGATGATCAATGGAAACAGGATGCACCTGAGCTAAATTTTGAGTCTCATATCAAAAGGTCTGAATACTTATGTAAATAAGGTATTTCTGTTTTTTCTAAAAAGCTGTTTTCACTTTGTCATTATGGGGTATTGTGTGTAGATTGATGAGGAAAAAAACGAATTTAATCCAATTCAGAATAAGGCTGTAAGTAATACAATCTGGAAAAAGTCAAGGGGTCTAAATACTTTTCGAATGCACTGTACTTTGAGGGGGACATTTATAATGATAATTGTCTAAACAGAAAATACGGTGTGAAACTTGTGGATAAAGGCTAGCTAAATCCATTAACAGGCTTCTTAGAACCGGATTGTGCAGTCTGTTTAGTTGGACCTCTGATTGAGGATTTATTCAGGAGGGAACATTGGAACAAAATGGAGAATATTGTTTTCTTGTAAACATTTCTCAGATTGACCACGAGAATGACAGTGAAACAGGTTCATAATAATTATTTTTGACTGAGAATGGGCGATTTTGCATGCAGTTCTTAATTTGGCCTTTAGATGCCCATGTAGCGGCATCATTGTAGCTGGGAACAGCTAGCTAACACGTATCAAAAATATCCCCAAACCCTGGGGGTGCATTTCACTAGTTAGCTAGCTAAAGACTAGCTTTATTGACAAAATATGCAGAAGTATGAAAAGCTCGAAAAGATTGGAGAGGGTAAGTGTCTGTTTCTTTCCCAGGATTTATCTAGCTGATAATGTTGCTGTCGCTAGACAGCTATAGCTAGCTAACTTATAGTTATGTTAGCAGCCGTCATATCAGTAATTTTAAATGACAATTGACAATTCATTGCTAAGTGACACACGTTTGATTAGTGTTTAGATATTTGGTAGTCTACCTACATTAGCTAGTTGTCTGACGTTAGCTAGCGTGCTAACAAAATATATAGCTAGTTAGCAAGAAATATGTTGACGTAGCTATAAAAAGATGTAACATAAGTTATTATATTCGTCAGCATCTAGTTAATTTCGTTTAAGATAGCTGCTAGTTAGCTTTTCATTATTCTATAAAAATAATGAAACTAGTTAGCCCAGTCCTGGGTAAGTTAGTTAGCTAAGTACCTTGCTAACTAACACAACCCATTCAGTCAAGCTAGTAGCTAGCGAACGTTGTGATTTCTTTCTCCAGGTACATATGGAACTGTTTTCAAAGCAAAACACAGAGAAACGCATGAAATCGTGGCTTTGAAAAGAGTGAGATTGGATGACGACGATGAGGTAGGAATTTTTTTGAGACTACAAATAAAGGTACTTTAGGTTGCTGTCCAACTGGTTAGCATATTTTTTGACGGCTCAATTTGGTTGCTGCTGTATGCTGGGGCGTATTCATTACGCAGATATGTTGCAAAACGTTTCACACACACACACTGCATCAAGCCAGAAGAGAGCTCCCACTGCAGGTAAACACCAGCATCAAACCTTGGCACACCACTACAGGTGGGATATGTTCACTGGTCTGTTTGATAGGACTCGAGTTTTCAAATGACACCAGTTTATGACTGCTAGTGATTTTACAGTGACAGTTGGAGGGATGCACAGGTGCCAGGGAGGGACCTACCTGAAATTAGGACCTACCTAAAACTCTTGTTTTAGTAACTGTTTGGCTAATGATTACAACCCTTGTTTCTTGTAGGGGGTCCCAAGTTCTGCCCTGCGAGAAATTTGCCTCTTGAAAGAACTGAAGCATAAAAACATTGTGAGGTAGGTCTGAAGTGAAATTAGTCAAATTCTGAAAATACATAGCTAACTACATTATTTTTGCCATAGCATAGTTAGACCTGACTCAGTAAGTAAGTAGTAGTAAGTTACTTTTCAAGAGTGTTATAATTAGCATTAGATTAAATATCTAGCTATGCAAAGAGTTTAATTGACAATTAATTTTGCTTTCCCTAGGTTGCATGATGTTCTGCACAGTGACAAGAAGTTAACATTGGTATTTGAATTTTGTGATCAAGTAAGTGTTGCGCTGTTGCCAGATGTATGCCGATTACGTTCTTGTATAAAGAGGAGTTTGTAGTTGCTACAGTTATGACAATTTACCAGTAGACTTGACTGACCATTTAAAGTAGATGTGACCGCAAGTTCAACTGTAAGGGTTTTCTACCTTTCATGTGTTTGATATGATGTGAAGAAATGTAATGTTACTGGCGTAGGGCTGATTGAACTTGTGACTTTTACAACCACAGGATCTAAAGAAATATTTCGACAGCTGCAATGGAGACCTAGATCCAGAAACTGTCAAGGTGAGTCATTGCGATTAGGGCTGGCACAATTATCATGTAACTGACAATTATGGACAATAACGTAAACTAAAACAATTATCATCATAATCGTCTTAATACTATATATTAAAGTAGATATAATAATAATAATAATATGCCATTTAGCAGACGCTTTTATCCAAAGCGACTTACAGTCGTCATTTACTGAACACAGTTTTTCATTTTTACATCAATTGGGTAAAGTTGCAGAACGGTTAAACCATTCGTGTTTTTAAATAGAGATGTTATCCAAGCTGTGTTGTAGATACTTTTCTAAGATGCATTATGATCCATGACAAGCTCAAAATACTTTTCTACAAAAATGACAGTTGTGACAATAACCATGTCCATTTGTATGACAATGAATTGTTACCCCAAATTCCATAATCGTCACGGCCCTAATTGATATTCAAATAAGGAGCAGAATATGGCTCTAATGATGTCCCATCAGTAGAACTCAGTCCCTCAAGGATTTTGCGCTGTTTTATTTTTTGGGGTGATATTTTTATATATTAGCAGGTTGTTTTTTTTGCTTGGCAATATGCAATTATTTTGTAAATTTTGTCACAAATGCACTGACGAGGGAAAAAGTTTGTTGACGTGTGGCTTGATTGAACCATATTATGTGCTAAATGTGCAGTGATTGGTTGAAATTGCTAACCCTCTTTTAGTTTTGCGGTGATTGGTCAGTTTTATACGATAATATTGTGATGATTTGACTGTTTTAATGATGTGATTTGTCCAATTTGCAAGCCCTCGCATAATATGCAGGGGATTGTTGACTTTGCCAAAAAAAATTGCAGTCGCAAAATTATGGTATAACTCCAAAGAAAACCTCCAATGACTATCTCATTGATAGTGAGAATACTGTAGTATTACTGCCTTGTCTTTCTGTATCTCTGTGCTTAACTCAGTCTTCCCCTCCTTTCTGTATGTGCAGTCGTTCATGTACCAGCTGTTGAAGGGGCTTGCCTTCTGCCACAGTCGGAATGTTCTCCATAGAGACCTGAAACCACAGAACCTCCTCATCAACAGGGTAAGTCAGTGGAATGTTGACTGTTTAAGTTCTAGTTCTAGAAAGTCAGAGTACACATTGTGCTGTATACTGTATACAGTGAGGGGAAAAAAGTATTTGATCCCCTGCTGATTTTGTACGTTTGCCTACTGACAAAAACATGATCAGTCTATAATTTTAATGGTAGGTTTATCTGAACATTGTGAGACAGAATAACAACAACAAAAAATCCAGAAAAACGCATGTCAAAATGTTATAAATTGATTTGCATTTTAATGAGGGAAATAAGTATTTGACCCCTCTGCAAAACATGACTTAGTACTTGGTGGCAAACCCTTGTTGGCAATCACAGAGGTCAGACGTTTCTTGTAGTTGGCCACCAGGTTTGCACACATCTCAGGAGGGATTTTGTCCCACTCCTCTTTGCAGATCTTCTCCAAGTCTTTAAGGTTTCGAGGCTGACGTTTGAGAACTCGAACCTTCAGCTCCCTCCACAGATTTTCTATGGGATTAAGGTCTGGAGACCGGCTAGGCCACTCCAGGACCTTAATGTGCTTCTTCTTGAGCCACTCCTTTGTTGCCTTGGCCGTGTGTTTTGGGTCATTGTCATGCTGGAATACCCATCCACGACCCATTTTCAATGCCCTGGCTGAGGGAAGGAGGATCTCACCCAAGATTTGACGGTACATGGCCCCGTCCATCGTCCCTTTGATGCGGTGAAGTTGTCCTATCCCCGTAGCAGAAAAACACCCCCAAAGCATAATGTTTCCACCTCCATGTTTGACGGTGGGGATGGTGTTCTTGGGGTCATAGGCAGCATTCCTCCTCCTCCAAACAAGGTGAGTTGAGTTGATGCCAAAGAGCTCGATTTTGGTATAATCTGACCACAACACTTTCACCCAGTTCTCCTCTGAATCATTCAGATGTTCATTGGGAAACTTCAGACGGGCCTGCATATGTGCTTTCTTGAGCAGGGGGACCTTGCGGGCACTGCAGGATTTCAGTCCTTCGCGGCGTAGTGTGTTACCAATTGTTTTCTTGGTGACTATGGTCCCAGCTGCCTTGAGATCATTGACAAGATCCTCCCGTGTAGTTATGGGCTGATTCCTCACCATTCTCATGATCATTGCAACTCCACATGGTGAGATCTTGCATGGAGCCCCAGGCCGAGGAAGATTGACAGGTCTTTTGTGTTTCTTCCATTTGCGAATAATCGCACCAACTGTTGAAACCTTCTCACCAAGCTGCTTGGCGATGGTCTTGTAGCCCATTCCAGCCTTGTGTAGGTCTACAATCTTGTCCCTGACATCCTTGGAGAGCTCTTTGGTCTTGGCCATGGTGGAGAGTTTGGAATCTGATTGATTGATTGCGTCTGTGGACTGGTGTCTTTTATACAGGTAACAAACTGAGATTAGGAGCACTCCCTTTACGAATGTGCTCCTAATCTCAGCTCGGTACCTGTATAAAAGACACCTGGGAGCCAGAAATCTTTCTGATTGAGAGGGGGTCAAATACTTATTTCCCTCATTAAAATGCAAATCAATTTATAACATTTTTGACATGCGTTTTTCTTGGATTTTTTTGTTGTTATTCTGTCTCTCACTGTTCAAATAAACCTACCATTAAAATTATAGACTGATCATTTCTTTGTCAGTGGGCAAACGTACAAAATCAGCAGGGGATCAAATACTTTTTTCCCTCACTGTATCTGTCTTAGCTGAAACAGAAATACTGTTGCTTAGTTAGTGAGAAAATTATTTCCCTTTACATAGCCTACAATGTGGTATGGTTTGCTTAATTTAGAATGGGGAATTGAAGCTGGCTGACTTTGGCTTGGCTCGAGCCTTTGGAATCCCAGTGAGATGTTACTCAGCAGAGGTGGGATATTAATTACATGTTTATATGCAATTACGTGATTAATTGGGATACTGGCAAACAATTACTGGTCTCAAGCTTCTCTCTCTCTGTAGGTTGTGACGTTGTGGTATAGGCCCCCAGATGTGCTCTTTGGTGCTAAGCTTTATTCTACCTCCATTGACATGTGGTCTGCTGGATGCATATTTGCAGGTATGTGTAACATCAAGGTCAAAATTGCACTGCAAATTCAAGGTGTTCACTCTAAACCTGTGTTATAATGCTCAAATAATTTGGGGCCTCTGCAGACCTGCCAACCTGCACACGTTGCTGTGTACCAAGCACATAATTTGAAGTCAAAGTACGCTGGTACGAAAAAACGACCCTAACATACACAAAAATAGGCATCTAGTTGGCACATTGTGCTTTTTGACTCAGCCTTCTGAAGTTGGAGCAGAGACAATTAGAGGACAGGCGAGGAGAAAAAACGGAGAGGAAGAGGTGAATACAATCTTTGGAAAGAATCTCTAGCCCTCGGCTCCGGCGGCCGCTGTAGTCGTAGTGCTATTTTCCTCCCTGGAGCTGGATGGCTTCTCTCCACTTCGCGTTGATACCACTGATGTATGAGGAAAAGGGTATGAAAAATTGTGAAGTTGAACAAACTGTTTGCCAAATACATTGACTAACAAATTGTATGAGTTAGGCAAGCTCATAACCAATATTATTTCGTAGTTGGCGCTTTAACTAAGGCGTCATTATAACGAAGGTATTTAGCTACAACATTTAGTCAACTAAGCGAGAACACTTTCTTGCCCGCACAGGCTTTGATCTCCGCAACGGTAGTAGGCGCGAGCGCATTGACTAGCAAGGAAACGTGCTGTGTTGCGTAGATGGAAACAGACATGACAGAGAGAGCTGTTCCGCTAATACCATCCTTCACAGGTTATGTTAGACTGTTAAAGATTAGTAGGCCTATGTTAATGAATAAGTTCTTAATTGACCTTTGATATAGCTGTATGTCAACAATAGGCTGCTAATGATGTGATAATAGCCCATCAGTTCACCGATGACAAGGCATGTTGAATGAATGGTAGTAGTCAGACCTAACTTGATGGATTGGGTAAGGGATGGAGATCTGAAACAAGCTCATATAGGCCTAGTTCATTTGTTTCATATTCCAAATAGCCTACAGTAAGCCAGACTACTACATTGCATCCAGTAATTGTGGGCCTCTGTAGCTCAATTGTAGCTCAATTGGTAGAGCACGGCGCTTGTAATGCCAGGGTAGTGGGTTCGATCCCCGGGACCACCCATACGTAAAAATGTATGCACACATGACTGTAAGTCGCTTTGGATAAAAGCGTCTGCTAAATGGCATATTATTAGTAATTGAATTAATTTAGAAATATTTCCGAAAACAAAATTAAAGACACTTTACGTTTTCACAAGACTATCCACATAAATACACCTATTAATTAGAATAATCATTATCCCTAAATTTAACCTAGAAAAAATGTGAGTGTCATTGAGACCACCTCAATTTCATTTAGGATCAAATACCTAGACCAGTGTTTCCAAACTTCAGTCCTCCTGTACCCCCAACAGCACACATTTTTGTTGTAGCCCCGGACAAACTCACCAGATTCAACTAATTGAGGGAAGGATGATTAGTTGACATGTTGAATCAGGTGTGCTTGTCCAGGGCTAAAATTAAAATGTGTACTGTTGGGGGTACTCAAGGAATGGAGTTGGGAAATACAACTTCACTAAACAACTGTGTTGGCTACATTGTTTTATATAATTTAAGACTCTCGGTTTCAGGAAATGGCAGTTACAGGTTTTTCAAAGTGCTCTTAACTTCCACTGACATTAACTTTTCTAGTGAGCTACTGAAGACCAGCCAATTACCAAGTACCCATAACAGTCTATAGCCGGGCTCTCCAACCCTGTTCCTGGAGAGCTACCCTCCTGTAGGTTTTCGTTTCAACCCCAGTTGTAACTAACCTGATTCAGTTTATCAACCAGCTAATTATTAGAATCAGGAGCGCTAGATTAGGGTTAGAGCGAAAACCTACAGAACGGTAGCTCTCCGGGAACAGGGTTGGAGAGCCCTGGTCTATAGCCTACCATTCCTACTGAGACGGGTGCATTTGCCTATGATTTGAGCTGTGGGGGTGTCGCACGCGCGCTGCCATGGGTTCTGTGGCTGGTGGTGCCAACGCCGCGCTGAAGTGGTACTCATAAAAATGATTCAAGGTTGGCAGGTCTGCCTCTGCCTTTTTAAAATCTTCTGTAACTTTGATCAATTTGATAATTTTAGAGTTGGCAAATGCTGGAAGGCCCCTGTTCCCGGGTAATGACGTTGACGACCAGCTGAAGAGGATCTTCAGATATCCTTTCAGAGATGTTTAAGATAGTTACCCACCAAGTTCAGTACACTGTCCATTTGTTGTGTGGTATGTAGAAACTAAACACAGGAACTGAAGTTGGTGCACTTTGAATCTATTCTAATGACTAAACTTGACGAGTCCTATTTAGTGGTGAAAGTCGTTCCTTAATGCTGTTGTGGCACATTGTTGGGTACACCAACTGAAGAACAGTGGCAAACAATGACAAAGCTCCCAGACTACAAGGTAGTCTAACCCACTCATTTTTTGTAAATTACAGTTGATCATATAGAAATTCATGTTTTCTACTGCCTGTCAGAAACATTTGAATATATGATTTACAAGGTATGAGATTAATGGCAGTTTCCAGATCACAGATTCATCTCTAATAGAAGGAACTCATATTTTCTGTGCTGCTATCTGTTTGCATCCGTTACCCCTGTCGTTCTTTTTGCCTACAGCCGTACCCCATGTATCCAGCCACGACCTCACTGGTGAATGTTGTCCCCAAACTCAGTAGCCCAGGACGAGATCTGCTGCAGGTTAGTATTGCCCCCCAAATGACCAGTATATTGGCCATATATCACAAACCCGAGAGGAGCCTTATTGCTATTATAAACTGGTTGCCAACGTAATTAGAGCAATAAAACTAAACGTTTTGTCATACCCGTGGTATACGGTCTGATATACCATGGCTTTCAGCCAATCAGAATGCAGGGCTCAAACCACCCAGTTTATAATATTCAGTATACAATGTATTATCATGCTATACCATCCCATGATGTTAACATCAATTTACAATCCAATGTCCTTCACTCTTCTATTGTATAGCTCTGAATTCATATGTTTGCACAAATACATATGTGCAAACCCACACAAGTGGCGTTAAAACAAAATGCATGTGTCTAGAGTTTTGTGTGGTGTGTAACTGGCAGACCGCTTAGCTGGGAATATAAAGTTACCACCAGGTGGAGCTAGTGCAAGGCTTTTCCCAAACGTCACTTGAATCAAAGACCGTACAGTATGAAGATACTAGGCTAAAACTGCTTCTCCAATAGAAATCCCTGATCACACTTGTTGGAGATGTCATGGCGACATTGGCTAACAAAGCTCATGTGTAGAAACACGTCAAAAGGTCTTAAAGGTCGGCGCTCTTTTTTCCTCTTTTAGAATCTTTTGAAGTGTAATCCTGTCCAGAGGATCTCTGCAGAGGAGGCATTGCAGCACCCCTACTTTGCTGATTTCTGCCCACCGTAGATGAGATGCCAAAACACACGTCACTCAACAAAACCTCAGCCATCGGAATCAATCCTCTTTCACTCCATCTTTTCAACAGGACCTGTTTATCCTGACTCCCTGCAAGACTCATCTTCCAGCAGCACCTGTTTTAACTAAGAGACTTCCCTTCAGAATATCCTGTTGTGCCTCCTAATGGAATTAAGTCCTTGTGGGCTCTGCAAGATTTTAGATCCTGTTAGCAAGCCTGTTTGTCTTCTCATTGTCTGTTAAGCACAGTAAGCGCACTGACATGGAAACATAACATGTAGCAATGAACAATTCTGGACCCGGAGAAACAGTGAATCCTTCTGAGCCAATAGTTGCACAGCAGATTAAGCAGTTTGAACAATTGAATTAGTGTGCTGCATAATGTACTGGCAAAACTGTAGTTATTTGGATACATTCCTCAAATAGTGTTAATGTACCACTGCTGGTAACTTGTCAATATTGCATTAATAGGTTATGATAAGATTGGAGACAGACAGACTTGCATGTCTTCCTTGTCCTTCATCATAGTCTTAACCATTTTCCACTTTAAAAGGAGATTGTAAAAGAGGGGGAGGTTTATTTATATTTGTCAGTTCTCAGGCTTTCTTTTTAGCTTTTAGTATTTGATTTTTTTTGTGCACTTTTGGTAAATGGCATTTCCTTTTTTAATAATTTAGATCTCATCCGCTCTATCAAGTAAAGTTGAACACAAAGTTGGGGTATTGTCGAAGTTGGGGTCAATAGATATGTATTATGAACAGTGGACCATACGTACTTGAGTAATTTGCTTTTATTTTAGTTTCATTTTGTAACTTTCTACCATCTTTTATCATTGACCTGATGTCTTATAGCTTAATGAAAGTGAAGTGAGAGCGGAGGAAATCCATTGATACCTGTATTACCACATTACGATTGTTTTGCACCACTGACTTTAGCTGTGTTCACTCTGATGGGTAACTTAATTTTGGCAAAGAACTAGTACGTTTTGCAGTGTTATTTTACTCCAGATAGTCGCTACTTATCCCACAAAAGCCAACGTTTAACTCATCTTTGAGGTTGCTGTCAGCTACCAAAACATTGGTTTTGATCAATAGGGAAAATATTTATTTTGATATAAGAGAAAGAATTAATAGAATGCATGTATTTATTGATAATTGAATGTCTGCTTATGTGTGCATTTAGTATTTTTATTTACACAACGCATTACTTTTCATGAGTTGCAATGTTCTCCTTATTAAAATAATGTAATGTGTGACAGTTAGATCCATGGCAATTTTACGGCTCTGTATAGTATGCGTTATACTTTGGCGGTGTGTATGTTTGCATCCGAGTTGAGATAGAACAGTTGGGACATCACAAGATTCCATTATCACATGTAAAGACAAGCAATTCCAGTGCTTATTTTAGACGAGTGCTGTAGAATATTAGTTTAACTATGACATTACTTTAATCTTTATTTAGAATGAAGAGTGGACTTTGCACTTTCCTATTATCATAGTTTTATTGTTGGACTTGGGTTAAGTATTTAGACAATTGCTGCCAGGCAGTGGTCTCTTCTGTAAATTTCAAAACAACAGTTCAATAAAGTGGACTCAAAAGTTATGTTTCTTGTTCTGCTTTTTTTGTCGGAAAATGATTTACAGTTTGCCCATTATTTTCTGTTAAAACCGAGAATGAGCCCTGTCAATATAAGAGCTGGGGCACGGTGGAGAAGATGGCCAAAGCCGACCAGAAGTGGACAGCCTTTGTTGCAACTTTCTGCCCTATGCACCAGCTGGCGCACCAGGGATGAGTGAGTTTCAGTTAAGCTGTTACCATGGTTCATGACCAATGATTTCTAAAGTTACCTATAGCACCAAGTATTATTGTCAAGACCCCAGTTACACAACCGGTCCAAGTAGTTGAAGGAAGCCATATCATGGAGGGAGGCATTGTAATATCACGTGTTGTGTAGGGGTAGATGATCTGATCTACATTGATTACACAATGCATTGAAGACCAAACACTACTGATAACATTTCCAGATAATAATGCATCACGTTTCACGTAAGATTGAGAACGTCACACTTGATAAAGAGAGTATTAAGTATTTAATTACTGCTTAAGGTCAATCACAAATTATGTATCATATATACAGTACATAGAGCCAGATTAACCTAGTTTAGTTCCACAGGTGTCTGTAGGCCTCCAACAGGGCGAGACATACTATAATCGATACACTCTAGCCCTGTTCATACCTGGTGCTAACATGTGTCTTTTGTCCTGATCTTACCCACATCGTAGTCGTGCATCTACACATAAAAAAAAAAAAGTGTCTCTTATCCGTTCTGCATTGTGACCAGAAATCCTGGTCCCTCACTGTCAACAATATGCTCACTGTATGCAAATCATTTGACAGATATTCTTTAAAAATAATATTTAATTATTTATTTCAATATTGATGTCATAAATTAATGGCATCACCTGTCATTGATTTTAGAGGGTGGGATTATTATGATTTAAATGGTTTCACTGACCAGATCCATCTACACAATGTGTCTGACTACCTCCGGAGGTGGCCAAGAAGATCTGATCACAATCAGATTACAATGCGTCTTTTAATCATCTACACCTGTCTAAAAATGTGGGCACAATCAGAATGTGAACAAGATCAGGACAAAGGATGCATGTGAGAACCAGGTATAAACAGGGCTTCTATAAGCTCTAGTCTTACAGAAATATAACATTCCTTACAAGCCACATACAATAATTTGACCTGCAAAAATTTGTCAGAACACATATCCCAGGTTCTCAGCCCCATGTTCAATACTTCATGGTCATTGAATATTCCACAACCCCAAGCCTAATTTTTTCATGATGATTTTTCATGACCATGAAGATTGTAGAGTAGCCTACCACAGAACATGGAATTTAACCATCTGGCTCCCAACAAAGTAGTGAGTAACAAGGCTGATAATGCACTCGCGGTGGTCAAGAGACAATGGTCATGCAAGGAGGAAAAGAGGTAAGGTGCAATAACAATTCACATTATAATTAATCTGCAAGAATAAAGGTCTTTAGACTATTGGTTGACAGAAATATATAACACTGTCATCTACTTGGCTGTAATGAATTATGCTATAAAATATCCATTAAAAGACTTGAATCAATTAGCACAACCAGTATTGCCGGTATTATTCAAATATGACAGGACCATGTCCATTTTCAGCTTTAGACTACTGAGTAGCTTCTGCTCTGCTGTTCTTTCGCTTCTGCTCTGCTGTTCTTTAGCTTCTGCTCTGCTGTTCTTTAGCTTCTGCTCTGCTGTTCTTTGATTGGCAGTAAGGCAGGGGTGAGTAAGGATTGTAGATGGAGACAGTACATTGTGCAGAGTATTCATAAAACTGTAGCATAGCAAGTTTACCACTTGTTTTATAATTCTGACTTTAAAATGAATTAATTGTAGATTTGATTTACGCTTGCATCATAATGTATTCTGTCAGTATTTACCTGTTGTCTTGGAAAGGACAGGTGGTAAACCCTGGTGGTAAGTTTTATGATTGACCTCCACTATGTTCATCATGACAGACAGTCAAATACAGTCAAAAGCAAGACAATGTCACATCATCAGTTGTGGCATCACAGTACAGCAGAGATTTAACCATTCATTCCTTTATGCCACACCCACCAGAGAAATTCAGATCATCATAACTTTCAAACTTCAACTTATTAGTCGGGCAGCAGTACAGTTTGACCAGACTTGATAATGAATACCTTGATCGTCCCATTTTCGAATCAATGCATTTTGAAGTGTCATTTTCAAATCAATGCATTTATTGCTCACAACAAAACAACACTAAACCATATTATATGATTGAAACACTCCTGAAAAGTTCACAACTTCAAAGAAATTCTGAATGATATTGGTATTTGGCTCATAGTGGATAAAGTGTCACCCCAGGACACATACTGTATCTTTAGTATTACCCTGTAATGGTACAAGGTTGTTACTGCAGTTATTACTGTGTAGTTACATAGGTGTAATGGCAACTAAAGGCATCTTAAGTGTTGCCCATAGTTGGACATAATCTGTACCAGTCAGTCTTGATCAGAGAGGGAGGGTCATTGGCTCAGGAACAAAAGCTGCTCTCCAAGGTTTTGTGCTTGCTTCACATCAACAGTCATCTAATAAACAGACAAAAGCACAGGAATAGAACTTCTAGAATTAGTAATAATATGTTTTATGAGCAAAAGAGTAAAGCTACCGACGTCCCTTTGATTGCCACCAAAGCACAGATAACTATGATAAACATGAACAGTAGCATGAGAGCAATTAGATTGACACAAAGATAGAAAGGTGTGTACATAGGAAGATGGTTAAATATACAGTTTATTATATTTGATCATTTACACATCACAAACTAACTGTTATTTGAGTCTTATTACATATACTGAAATTTCAATAACAATAGTATATAATAATGCAATTATACAATGCATTTCAGTGTTATAAACCAACTGAATTGAATAGAATGTTTTTGAAGCACTGTAATAAACTATCTCTGAGTCTGGCATCTAACAAATTCTACTCTGTGTCCGGTCCTGAAATTAAATGGAAACTGGAAGACACTTGAGGTCAACTTGGGTACCAACACAAATGATTGGACAATCGTTGGGGTAGGGCATTGTGTGCTCGTATGGCAAGTGAGCTGCTTCCATCCAAATGTAATGCAATGCAACAGCAGTAATGGAGATTTGTATATATTTTTTTTTACATACCATCAATATATCAACATACGAGCAATATTTAATTTCTTTTTTTAAAATCTGGTATTTACACATTTCAATCAATATTTAGAACACCACCGTGACAACATTTGTACTCCACTAGTTTCCAATAGAGAATATATTACTATCACAGGGGACTTGTGCTAATGAGTGTTTTTGTAGCAGTTAAAAGCCATGGCCATGGAACAAAACCATTTCAACACCCACACATGCTAACTTTAAGGATGGGTGCATCGTCTTGCTTGTTTATCTATTCTAAATGAAAGTGGTGAAAAAGAGGGAGGCCAAGTTACAGCAGACTCCTGTGAATTGTGTTCTTTTCCAGTGACAGTCCAGCCAGTCTGCTGATAACACTACACCCCCCCCCCCCCCCAAAATGGGAAACCACGACAGAATAACATTTAGTCATTGATGTGAATTGTTTTTCAGCAGTAAACAGATAGAAAACATTGAGCGGAGCACTATAAATAACCATGGACAATGTTCCTATTTTCCAAAAATCAATGGAAAAGTTGTGATTGTTCATTTGTGCAAACATATACACTTGTTTTCCCCTCTCCAATATGTAACTTGTAAACAAAGAATGGCATTCAGTTATCTTGCAAATGTGTATCTTCTTGGAACCTAATTCAAGACGTTTTCATCACTTGGGATTATACTTAAAATCAATGAGATGATCAAGAATCTCAGAACAGAATCATTTGTGTACAACAAGACAACAATGACAACAGCAGTCTACTACTGGGATTCAAGTCAGGTCTGCTGTTCTCCTTTGAGCGTTGTGATCATAGCTGAGTAGGCATCACTGAAATCTGAATTATCTTACTCTCAATGAGGTACACTAAATGAAAAAGTGGTACCATAAAGATATCTTTAAACCTCCTCTCTTGTTCTACTTATGAATGGACCTTGTTATGCTGATGCTACACATGCTAACCATCGCTAGCCTCTCAGTTTGATATTCAGCACACCAGAACGGACTGTGATTACAAAGGTGTATAAATTGAGATAAAATGAGACCACTCCGAAGTCCTTGCCATTTACATTACTAAGCTGACACTTTACTAGGCTGACTAAAACCAATTCAAACACACTCTAATGTCACCCTGTTTAAGAGAATGCAACATGAATGAAGCATCCAATAAATAGTGTAGAGTCGATGCCTTGTTATGGCCCTATCACCTGAGTTCTGTTTTGAAAGTGGTTTATTCTTATGATAGTATTATATTTCCATTCAGGCAATTCACAGATCCTACTACTCTTTGAGTATTTATCACTCGCCATGTTTGTAATAATAAATAAGTTATTTCACAGTTTGCTGTCAAACCCCAAAGATCCCAGGTCCCACCCTGCTTTATGTCGTCAACAAGCAAACTCCTCAAAGTTGCCTAGAGTCGGGTGACGAGGTAACATGTTCGGTGTGAATCCGAGACTGTCCGAGTGACTCCGGAGGGTGTCACAGGTGCTCTGTAAGACAAGGGAAGGGGGGAAGAGGAGTTCAACCGTATTAAGGGATGGGTGATGAGAGAGTGAGGAGAAGAGGAGAGAGTCATGCAGGTCGCAGTAAAAATGGGAGGGGATGTGACATTAACAGGAAAAAAAGGACAATAAATAGTATTCAACATAACCAGGACCAAGTGGAAAACAGAATACAAAAGGAAGTGACATTTACATTTTACATTTGAGTCATTTAGCAGACGCTCTTATCCAGAGCGACTTACAGTTGATTAGTCAGTGCATACATTTTCATACTGGCCCCCCGTAGGAAACGAACCCACAACCCTGGCGTTGCAAATGCCATGCTCTACCAACTGAGCTACACGGGACCCATAACATGACGTTAACCATCGTTGATGCATTAGACAGGAAGGAAGATGGTTGAAAGCATAGAGTGCACACATTGACAAAATAATTAAATACAAATGGTATAACATATAAAGAAAAATTATTACATTGGTAGTGCAGGGGACAGTTACAGTAGGTCAGGAATGTTTCACGGTATCGTTAGAGAGATGAACGAATATGAGAGAAAGATAAGAGGGGTATGGTATGGATGAAGGAGGGAAAGAGAAAAGAAAACAGTTTTTTTTGTCCTTATCTCGATATTAGTATCTTAATTCGTACATGATCATTGACATACACATTATGTTTGCATAAGTTTAGTGCAACTGCGGTTGTTTCAGTTAATATATTGCTGATATGTGGGTTCAAAAGAGGCATTAGCCATTGATGTAGATAGCTATTCCAGCAGATGAAGAACCATTTCATTGGGTGCAAACTGCATTGCATGCAGACCTGTGATAGCATCACCAAGGAATGCATCTAGTGATGTTATTGGGCACAGGTTCCAGTACAATGGTCCCCTAAAATGGACCTCGGTCCTGCAGGAAAGCTAGTAGGAAATTATATAGATGATCCCTGCGGACCAGCTTTTGTTGTACTATCTACAGCAAATTCTGTATATATACATTTATATTTTTCTCAGGAAACTGCATTTTATCCTAAGGGAAGGAAAGCATCTTCATTATTTAGTAAAAACAAAAAGAAGCATGACTGTATTGCTGACTAGCAAAGTCCCAAACTTTCTTAACAGATGTAGAATCCAACCAACTCATTGTTTATAATAAACCGATAATAATCTCGGAATGCAAATTGATTTACAGCATTGAGAGTCATTGATTTCAAAATGGTCTCTACAGAGGAAAATGCATTACATTGGCTATAATAAGATTGACCTATTGCTGTGTTGGAAAAGCACATTTATAAAGTCATCACTACTTGTATGTTTTACATCTCTACAAAATCAACCACCAAACAGCTTTAGGTGAACCAACATCTCGTTAACCAGAAAGGAAATGCATGAAATGGTTCCCAGAATGTCTGAAAAAGAAGGACAGTATGAGAGGGAGGATCTATTATCAATGGGGTTTGCTACCTGGGGGCATGATTAGGCGTGACACCAGGGCTGGTTGGGTTCTCTGGAAACTCCTGGAATAGACATGATGAAAAAAGAAAGATGAGGGTGACCAAAAAAAAATTCCAATGCAGAGCTGATAAGTAAAACAAGTGGCTCCAAGCAAGTTTGTCTGTGCAAAATGGCTAGGCCTACAGCCCTGTGTAATCGATTAAGTATAGAGAAGAACGCTGCACACCAATACTTAAATGTCACAGAGAGCTACCTCCGTTCAGCCATTTGATTTCAATGAAAGTTACAAAATCAGATCAATTTGAAAAAGCAAGGTACCATTGCTAGTCTCTGCCATGTATGTTTCGTAATGCTTCAAAAATGGTAGACATTCATTGAAATTAATAGAAATCACAAACATACTGTATCTTGATATGAAAATGGTTGCTATTTGCTCCCTTTGTTTTACATGCCATCTAATGTACTATGTAAAGTAAATAGTCATAGAACTATCAAACCACTACATTTAACATTCATATGCCTGACTTATTTTAGCATACAGTAGGTTGCACTGGCTCATACCGTTTTCATTTAGCACTTTATCTCATATAGATTGATTGATTGGGTGGTTAGAGAGGAGAGGGGGTGAATGGAGTTGGCAGAAAAGAAGGAGAGGTTTGGGGAACATGAGAGTCAAAGGTATCAAAAATGGCTTTTCATTATGTTTTAAAGCAAAGAAAGCCTTCAATAATGGATGATTCCATGACATGGGTGTATAAACTATATGTGGTAGTGAAACACAGCATTACATCCACCTAAAGCTCCATGTCCTTGTTTCATGTTGCAATATGTGCCTCTAGTTAGTGTGTGTAATATAATATAGTTGGCTACTGCTGATTAAAACCATCTAAAGCCTGAGGAAAAACTTGATGTGAAATGCCACAAAGGTATTTTTTCTACTCTACTGCAACAGGCATGGAAACAGGGATGTTTTTATTCAATGTGCCGGATGTAACTGTTCAGAGATGATGGGTTCCACCACTATCAAGCTGAGAGCCCAATTCTGATATTTCTTTTTCAATAATTTGTCTTTTGACCAATCACATCAGATATTTTCCTAGCTGATCTGATTGGTCAAAAGATCAATTAGTGAAAAGAAATCTGAATTGGGCTGCCTGTGTAAACGCAGCCATAGTGCTCACACAATGTGTATATAATGACAGGATTCGATGACTAGAGTGGATCTTTCATAGGGTACATCCAGTTGAATGATTTTACTTTTCTCTATCCTTTGTCACATAGAATGCTCTGAATAAACCTGACATATCCTTTTATTTGAACAAACAAAAATACAGAACCATATCTATGAATTTAATTATCAAACACATCTTGCTATTTCAACTGTCTAAATTACTAAAAGTCAAACTATATCCAAGTGTCCAAATCTATGATAACTTCCTCTCAACAACAGAAGTGTATTTTAAAGCTTCCTTACCGTTAAGTCTTATCAAAATAGAGAGTTTTAAAATAAATATCACTAGGGAAAATACCTTCTTGGTACATGCAGCTGCAGTTATCTCAGGAGTGGGGCCAGGACATCTTTTCTCTAACCTTTTCTTCCACATCAGCTTATGGGCCAAACTCCAAGACTGAAGCAACCGTGCATGTAGATAACATGCAGAAACAGAAACCCAGGGCTTTTTCACTACCTTGGAACCAGGCTTTGGGCATATACTGTATATAACTAAGGAAAAAGTACTCGTTTTGATTTGCGTTCCACATCTGTCATTGACTAGTCATGAAAAAGGCTTGAGTTTCTGACACATTACATTGCGTTACTTTGTTTGTAGTGCAGTGCAGAACTACAAACCAGTGCATTGTGGGAGACTCAAATTACCAGATTGTCGCTAGGACAACGCTGTGGTCGCTTCTTGCGCATGAAGTAACCCAAAACTTTATCCTTAAATACCTAAATAAAAAAACATATTGTTAACATCACAACAATCCAGACACATGCAAACAGTTAAACACACTTAAACCCAAATAGACAAACAATATCATTAGGTCAAGGTCTTATTTTTGATTAAATTCAGACACTTCATCATCATGAATGAATTGTGCACTTTCAACATACAGTGGGGAAAAAAAGTATTTAGTCAGCCACCAATTGTGCAAGTTCTCCCACTTAAAAAGATGAGAGAGGCCTGTAATTTTCATCATAGGTACACGTCAACTATGACAGACAAATTGAGATTTTTTTTCTCCAGAAAATCACATTGTAGGATTTTTTATGAATTTATTTGCAAATTATGGTGGAAAATAAGTATTTGGTCACCTACAAACAAGCAAGATATTTGGCTCTCACAGACCTGTAACTTCTTCTTTAAGAGGCTCCTCTGTCCTCCACTCGTTACCTGTATTAATGGCACCTGTTTGAACTTGTTATCAGTATAAAAGACACCTGTCCACAACCTCAAACAGTCACACTCCAAACTCCACTATGGCCAAGACCAAAGAGCTGTCAAAGGACACCAGAAACAAAATTGTAGACCTGCACCAGGCTGGGAAGACTGAATCTGCAATAGGTAAGCAGCTTGGTTTGAAGAAATCAACTGTGGGAGCAATTATTAGGAAATGGAAGACATACAAGACCACTGATAATCTCCCTTGATCTGGGGCTCCACGCAAGATCTCACCCCGTGGGGTCAAAATGATCACAAGAACGGTGAGCAAAAATCCCAGAACCACACGGGGGGACCTAGTGAATGACCTGCAGAGAGCTGGGACCAAAGTAACAAAGCCTACCATCAGTAACACACTACGCCGCCAGGGACTCAAATCCTGCAGTGCCAGACGTGTCCCCCTGCTTAAGCCAGTACATGTCCAGGCCCGTCTGAAGTTTGCTAGAGTGCATTTGGATGATCCAGAAGAGGATTGGGAGAATGTCATATGGTCAGATGAAACCAAAATATAACTTTTTGGTAAAAACTCAACTCGTCGTGTTTGGAGGACAAAGATTGCTGAGTTGCATCCAAAGAACACCATACCTACTGTGAAGCATGGGGGTGGAAACATCATGCTTTGGGGCTGTTTTTCTGCAAAGGGACCAGGACGACTGATCCGTGTAAAGGAAAGAATGAATGGGGCCATGTATCGTGAGATTTTGAGTGAAAACCTCCTTCCATTAGCAAGGGCATTGAAGATGAAAAGTGGCTGGGTCTTTCAGCATGACAATGATCCCAAACACACCGCCCGGGCAACGAAGGAGTGGCTTCGTAAGAAGCATTTCAAGGTCCTGGAGTGGCCTAGCCAGTCTCCAGATCTCAACCCCATAGAAAATCTTTGGAGGGAGTTGAAAGTCCGTGTTGCCCAGCGACAGCCCCAAAACATCACTGCTCTAGAGGAGATCTGCATGGAGGAATGGTTCAAAATACCAGCAACAGTGTGTGAAAACCTTGTGAAGACTTACAGAAAACGTTTGACCTGTGTCATTGCCAACAAAGGGTATATAACAAAGTATTGAGAAACTTTTGTTATTGACCAAATACTTATTTTCCACCATAATGTGCAAATAAATTCATTAAAAATCCTACAATGTGATTTTCTGGATTTTTTTTCTCATTTTGTCTGTCATAGTTGACGTGTACCTATGATGAAAATTACAGGCCTCTCTCATCTTTTTAAGTGGGAGAACTTGCACAATTGGTGGCTGACTAAATACTTTTTTCCCCCACTGTATAACCCTTAACTCTACAGTACTACTTGACAATACTTTTAGGTGATTAAACAAATGTGAGTGCCTCCACTTTACCTCATATAAGTAGTCAAATATTTCCAGTATTGTTAAAACACTGGCTCCAATGAACAGACCCATCTGACCTCCGATGTCACCTGAAAAGAGGATGACAGATGAACAGACATGGACAGGCAAAAGCACAGTCGGTCAGGTAATAGCATAGTGCATAAAACCATTCTTGAAACATTTACTTTAAGTCTTAGTATCTCAGCCAGCTGAGCAGAATTCTGAAACTGTGAACTGTCCATCCAGACGTAGCTTTTTATCTACCTCTCCTGACTGAGTGCTCTTTTCAAGTACAATATGAAAATGCATTCGGCCGAGACTTACAGGTTTAAAAGAAAATAGCCTCAAAAGGAGTTTAGCCCAGCATGCATGTAGTACTTGCAGAGGATTTGATGTTTAGGTCTAGTACGTTTCCTCTCCGTCTGTAAAAACAGATAATGAGCCTGGTGGAAAAAAAAAATCTCTCACCAAGCAACCCTGCAATTTCATACGCTTTCTTCTGCTCAATCTTCTCATAATTCAACGCCTCAAAGAAGATGTCCAGGACTAGTACGTTTTCTCTAGAGACAAAAACAAACAAATAAAAAAGGTGTTACACTGTAATGTACATCTTAGAGATACAATTAATTGATTTAATTTACCAATTCTGAGACATTTTGCATTACTTTTCAATTTGAATGTGAACTGTGGATAACAGTATCATGCTTAATTTATTATTGATGCAAACGTATGATCGCTACGTCACTTCTGTTAACTCACTTTAACTATCCAGATACTTACCCGATGTATTGCTCAGTTTTGTTGAATTTCTTGGCCAGATATTTGGCAGAGGCTTTACTGGGTATTTTCACCATGGACAGCTCCTTGCCATAGCGTATCATGTTGCATGGTGTCTCACACACACAGTAGTCATTGTCTTTTTCTACCAAGAAGTCTGTGGAGGATGACAATTGAATGGGAGTCTATGTTTTCAAAAAAGGTGATAAGAATATACAGTGCCTTGCAAAAGTAGTCATCCCCCTTGGCGTTTTTCCTATTTTGTTGCATTACAACCTGTAATTTCAATGGATTTTTATTTGGATTTCATGTAATGGACATACACAAAATAGCCAAAATTGGTGAAGTGAAATGAAAAAAATAAATTGTTTAAAAAATAAATAAATAAAAAATAACGGAAAAGTGGTGCGTGCATAGGTATTCACCCTCTTTGCTATGAAGCCCCTAAATAAGATCTGGCACAACCAATTACCTTCAGAAGTCACATAATTAGTTAAATAAAGTCCACCTGTGTGCAATCTAAGTGCCACATGATCTCAGTATATATACACCTGTTCTGAAAGGCCCCAGAGTCTGCAACACCACTAAGCAAGGAGCACCACCAAGCAAGCGGCACCATGAAGACCAAGTAGCTCTCCAAACAGGTCAGGGACAAAGTTGTGGAGAAGTACAGATCAGGGATGGGTTATAAAAAAATATCCTAAACTTTGAACATCCCACGGAGCACCATTAAATCCATTATAAAAAATTGAAAGAATATGGCACCACAACAAACCTGCCAAGAGAGGGCCGCCCACCAAAACTCACGGCCCAGGCAAGGAGGGCATTAATCAGAAAGGCAACAAAGAGACCAAAGACAACCCTGAAGGAGCTGCAAAGCTCCACAGCGGAGATTGGAGTATCTGTCCATAGGACCACTTTAAGCCGTACACTCCACAGAGCTGGGCTTTATGGTTGAGTCGCCCTTAAAAAGTGTTTGGTGTTCGCCAAAAGGCATGTGGGAGACTCCCCAAACATATGGAAGAAGCTACTCTGGTCAGATGAGACTAAAATTGAGCTTTTTAGCCATCAAGGAAAATGTCTGGCGCAAACCAAACACCTATCATCAACCAGAGAACACCATCCCCACAGTGAAGCATGGTGGTGGCAGTCATTGTAAATAAGAATTTGTTCTTAACTGACTTGCCTAGTTAAATAAAGGTTAAATAAAATAAAATAATAATGCTGTGGGGATGTTTTTCATCGGCAGGGACTGGGAAATTGGTCAGAATTGAAGGAATCATGGATGGCGCTAAATACAGGGAAATTCTTGAGGGAAACCTGTTTCAGTCTTCCAAAGATTTGAGACTGGGACGGAGGTTCACCTTCCAGCAGGACAATGACCCTAAGCGTACTGCTAAAGCAACACTTGAGTGATTTAAGGGGAAACATTTAAATGTCTTGGAGTGGCCTAGTCAAAGCCCAGACCTCAATCCAATTGAGAATCTGTGGTATGAAGAATGGGCAAAAATCCTAGTGGCTAGATGTGCCAAGCTTATAGAGACATACCCCAAGAGACTTGCAGCTGTAACCCTTTGGGGGGGTAGGCATGTTGGTGGTAGGCATGTTGTGTAAATCAAATGATACAAACCCCCCAAAAATCCATTTTAATTCCAGGTTGTAAGGCAACGAAATAGGAAAAATGCCAAGGGGGGTGAATACTCGCAAGCCACTGTAGCCTACAGGAAACAATTCACTAGAGGCCTCATGACAAAAGTAGTGCAATTCAAAAGTTCCTTATTTCGAAATTGTATAAAAGCTTTATTACTAATATTTCAAACTACAATGTTAGAGAAGCTCTGACACCAAAGGCAAAAATATATAAATATTTAGACTCTTGGAACGACTTAGTATACTCATTTGAATGAAAAGCCATATCTCAGACTGGCCAATAAAAATAAAAGATTAAGATGGGCAGTCTGAGATATGGCTTTTTGTTTGCAACTCTGCCTAGAAGGTCAGCATCCTGGAGTCGCCTCTTCACTGTTGACGTTGAGACTGGTGTTTTGCTATTTGAAGAATCTCAAATATAAAATATACTTTGATTTGTTTAACACTTTTTTGGTTACTACATGATTCCATATGTTTTATTTCATAGTTTTGATGTCTTCACTATTATTCTACAATGTAAAACCTTAAAAATAAAATGAAAAACCCTTGAATGAGTAGGTGTGTCCAAACTTTTGACTCGTAGTGTACATCATGGAAGACTGAAATATAACAAATCCTTTTGACATAGAAACACTGTATTTTCGGTGTAAAAAAAGAAAGAATGCTTATTAATTTATTAATTATGAAATTATGAAAGGTATTAATAACATGCCACCCATGAGGCCAATAGGTCATTTGACTGCAGGAAAGGGGTCTACTTACGTAAAGGAATATTAGTGGGAATATAGCCATAATATAAACAATATAAAGGAGAAAGGAATGTGGATGCTATTTCTCAAAAATCTATTACACTTAAGTAGGGACCGGCACAGAGTCCAGTAGGATAGTGTCACAAGGCTACATAGTCATAGGCCTATACTTCACCACTGATGGAGGGAATACAAAGCTGTCCTTGATTGTGAGCTAGAATGAAATGTTGAATGAGGGCTTGTTTCTCAGAGTGGGTGAAGTTATTCCTGACATAGGGAATAGAGTCCTCAAGCTGGTCAATAGGCCCATGTGGAACGAACATACATGGAGCCCTAAACCCACTTTTCGTGGGGACAGATGGGTTGCAATCTCTAAAGAACAGTTTCAGATCAATGTGCAAATGAATTGGTTGAAACGCGTTGCAGTTGTGCGTCCTGATATTCAGGCTGATTTGCTCCTATATGTATTATTTGTATATAGTTTCTGTAAGTAGCTCGCTAAAGTTTATTGCACCGTACTGGCCGCCTACTTGTTTTCTTTCTTCAATCCAATAAATAAAAATAGCACACTAGACACTGTAAGAAATAAACATTTTTGAGAAATAGCATCCACACACAGGGGCGGCTTCATCTCAATGTATTTTTCAATTTTAGGCTTTTCAAATACAGTGCCTTCAGAAAGTATTTATACCCGTTGACTTATTTACATTTTGTTGTGCTACAGCCTGAATTCAAAATATATGAAATATATTTTTGTTCTCACCCATCTAAAGCAGCCACCACCATGCTTAAAAATGTGAAGAGTGGTACTTAGTGATGTGTTGGAGTTAAGATAATTTCTTTGACACATTTTTTGCAGTTTTACTTTAGTGCCTTATTGCAAACAGGATGCATGTTTTGGAGAGAAAAAAATTATGTACAGGCTTCCTTCCTTTCACTCTGTCATTTAGGTTAGTATTGTCGAGTAACTACAATGTTGTTGATCCATCTTCAGTTTTCTCCTATCACAGCCATTAAACTCTGTAACTGTTTTAAAGTCACCATTGGCCTCATGGTGAAATCCCTGAACGGTTTCCTTCCTTTCTGGCAACTGAGTTAGGAAGGATGCCTGTATCCTTGTAGTGACTTGGTGTATTGATACACTATCCAAAGTGTAATTAATAACTTTACCATGCTCAAAGGCATATTCAATGTCTGCTTTTTATTTAAACCCATCTACCAATAGGTGCCATTATTTGTGAGGCATTGGAAAACCTCCCCGGTCTTTGTGGTTGAATCTGTGTTTAAAATTCACACTTGACTGAGGGACCTTACAGATAATTGTATGTGTTGGGTATAGAATTGAGGTAGTCAGTCACAAATCATGTTAAAGACTATTATTGCACACAGAATGAGTCCATGCAACTTGTTACGTGACTTGTTAAGCACATTTTACTCCTGAACTTATTTAGGCTTGCCATAACAAAGGGGTTGAATACTCATTGACTCAAGACATTTCAGCTTTTAATTAATTATTAATTTGTAAAAATGTCTACAAACATAATTCCACTTTGATATTATGGGGTATTGTACATAGGCCAGTGACACAAAATCTCAATTTAATCCATTTTCTATTCAGGTTGTAACATAACAAAATGTGGAAAAAGTCATAGGGTGTGAATACTTTCTGAAGGCACTGTATATTCCATTCTCCTTTCTCTTGTTTATATTATAGCTATATTCCCACTAATATTCCGTTATGTAATTAAGCTTTTATATGTGTTTTTTTCTGTCTTAATAATAATAATAATAATAATAATAATAATAATATATTATTATTATTATTATTATTATTATTAATTTGTAGAGCACATTTCCCATTCTCAATGCACATGTGAAGCTTGTTGGTTGCCTGAGTCTGTGCGCAAATCATTTGACCGATGAAGTTTGAGATGATTTATTCCCTTTTATTTATGAAAATAAGCTGTAACTGTCCTTCATTATTTATGATTTATTTATGTTATTTTAGCTTCATTAAATGGATTTATATTTTGGTATTTCTATCCCCCCCCCCCAAAAAAAAAAATGAAAGTACATTTTACAGTAGCCTATGTATTGCCTACCTAAAACATCCGTTAATACATTTGAAGTCCTTCAAAATAGAAACTACGTATCCTATTGTTAGAAAGTTTAATATAAACTAGACATAGGCTACTGTGTGTGGGGCAGGCTAAATAATTACAACCGAATAGGCCTAATTAAAAGAATAGTGATGAAGGAAATGAAAAATGCTAGGCAGAGCATGCCCCGAGTTGGTGGCTGAGCCGTACTAGATCGAAATTGGAGCGGGAGGGAAGGCAGACACAAATTCTGCTCTAATAATGCTCTGCTCCTTGCTCCACACTCGCCCACTAACATGCTCTGGCATTCAAAAGCAGCCCTGCTTTAGGCATTTAAAGAACTGTCAATGAATAATAATAATATCAATGGATGGAATTAGTGAATGAATGTCTGCAGCAACCATTACACGTAACAAATGAGGCCTAATTAGATAAAATAACAATTAAATCGTTTTTAGCTAAGTCATTCAAACAATTTAGTATCTCTAAGATACTAAGTCGTTCACACAAGATACTAAGTTATAAGTTACGAGATAATTCCAAGAGTAAGTATTTTGTATTTTTTTGCCTTGTGCTTCAGGGCTTCCGTAAAAATGTTGTGTGGTGTATCTACTAATAACAGGTTAATATTCCTAATATAGATATCATGACCATTGTCTGCCTTACCTAAAGCTGGGTCTGCACAGTCTTTATACTGCTCGGGTGTGCATACCATTGAGGTCCCTATTCAACAAGAGAGAAAGAGAGGGGGGGCGATAAAATAAAAATGTCAACTTCATCCCATTAACATCCTTACATATTTCCATGCATAACAACAACAACAACAACAGAAAACATTATTAATCATATTCCATTGATGAATCATGTGATGGTCAAGCCAATGTGTGTGAGTACCGGGCATGTGGACCATCCTGCAGTTACAGTTCTCCACCAGGTAGCGTGTCTCACAGTCGATACGGCAGGCTGTGATGCTGTATGTGGAGAAGAACTCTGAGTCGATGGGAGTGGACTTGCAGTCTCCCCAAGGGGGAGGGAGGTACTGAAGCTGGGACAGAAAAGAGCACAGGTTTCCCCTCAGTATATTGGCACAGTATAGGAACCACTGTCAACAACAGCTAGTCAAGCCCAGCCCAGCGGGAAATCCAACATAAAAAGTGCACACAAGCAGACAAAAAACAAACAGAAACGTATCAAACATTTAATAAGGGAACATAATGAAATAAATACATATTTTCTGGATGCTGTTCACATCTACAAGAATATTCCACTCAGACGACGGTGTAGCTGATAAACACAGCTCACAGAAGCAGCAAGCAGACACCATGCAGTAAATCACTGATGCAAGTCAGTTCTAGTTCTGAAAGGAAAGCAGAGTACCATGGGGGGTATGGAGACAGGGCAAATAGAATCTGTAAATATGTAACTTCAGTCTGGACACCACAATCAATGGAGAATTATTGTTTTAAAAACGTCCCAGGGAATGTTCTACTGTATACAGTATGTAGTATGTTTATGAGGTTTTTAGATGAATACAATGGAATTATTGTCTTGACAGACTTTATGCAAACCTTGACTTCCTACATTTTAGGAATGAATGTAGCTGATTATGATGTACTGAATGGTAACAAAAACCACAATGTTATTCAAATTATGTTGGATGGGGTACTTTCCCTGATAAACTATTTGCAGTGTGATATGATACAAGCAGTACACAAAACTTCACTCAACACTTTAAAAGTCTAACAGTACTATCAAATCAAATCAAATTTTATTGGTCACATACACATATTTTGCAGATGTTTTTGCGGGTGTAGCGAAATGCTTGTGTTTCTAGCTCCAACAGTGCAGTAGTATCTAACAATTCACAACAATAGAACAATACTAATCTACTTAACTAAAGTTCATTGTTAAGACATCCAGAAAGAGTAGCTACTTTTCTAGTCTCATTATAGTCAAAGTGACACATTATCTTCATCAGTCATTTTGTGCATTCAACAAACAGTATTGCTAAAAAAAAAGCTGATCAGCTGTACAAGCAATCAGTCATAATTGACCTGGATACCAACCCAACAACAAGTAATGCCGGGCATACTAAACGACTTTCAAAATTCTAACATTGTTGAGCCTCACATTAAACGACCATCTTCCCTGTAGTTTTTTGTCTTGCCAACTTAGTGGTGCGCACACTAATAGATGTGGCAATGACAAGTTTTGAGAACGGTGATCAGCAGTTGCCAATGAGAGCTCGCCAGAGAAGAAGCCGGTGAGATGACGCTGTATCGCATCACCCAGAATGTGTAGACTCTCAAGCAGGAGCAATGACTACTACTAGTATGCGTTTATGCTTGCCTTTAATCAAAGCGTCTCATCGTTACAGCTCTGGAGTTCACAAGTAATGTTATTCAATTCAAAATGTATTGGCTAGATATTTCAACCGTCTGTGCCACATCGTTTAGTGTGCGCACCATTATGTGTGCAAGACAAAAAACTACAGGAAGGACGGTTGTTAAATGTGAGAGGCTCATTGATGTTAGGATTTTGAAAGTTGTGTATGCCCGGCATAAGTTATGAAGTGACTTAAAATTGAAAACTTGATTAAGTCTTCACTAAGCCTACAGGCTCTCACAACCATTGTCCCCGTAGGAAATAAAAACCCAGAGCAAATATCAAGTCCTCTAGATGGATAGAACCTTACTCTAAAAGGGTAATAAAACCACATTAAACACAACGATTGGCCATTAGGAGACATTAAGCAGATGAAGAGTATCCTAGCAGTATGCAACATTCAAATGCAAAGCCCTAAACAACAAAACAAACAAAACAACTGCGCAATACCGGTAATATTGGTTGCACCATATACAACAGCTTGTATGAAGACAAATAATGGATAATGAATACTGAATGTGTTAGCTGAAGTGGAAAGGATAGTATTATGTGCTGCTATTCCATAGTGATGGTAGTTATGATGAGACAGAAGACAGAGATGAACCAGCAAGGTACAGACATTGAAATGTAGTCACTACATCCACATGGAGGGAGGTGATTGGTCCATTCCGTCATGAAGACTTGAAGGGGGAGTGTAATTGGGTGGCTCTTAGCTTGTGGCATACATGCAGCATACCCAGACAGACATACGGTACGCTACCCGCTGCTCTTGGGAGGAAACAAACGTTTGGAAGCCGGGGGCGACCCCAAAGCCCAGCTGGTGGGGGAAAGGAGGCTCTGACTGAGTGTGAATCTGAACCTTTACTCCGGCCTCATAGGACGTCTCATCTGGGGGAGGGACCAGTAAACACGTCACCACTAAACAGAGAGCAGTAACAGTGATGCATTAACGAATAGGACAGCATCTGTCAAAGCCCTTGGTTTGGACCCCGGATATAAGCAGTCAGCCAGCCTGTAGGTGTTGATCTTACTGTGCCCCAAAACAGCTGTGCCCAGGTCTGAGGACTCCAGCCCAAAATTGTTTCAGAAACATTGATTTCTTGTCATTCAGCCATCTTGCAATAATTGATCATACCCACTCAAAGCTTGATTGGTGGACATGTTTGTAAACATAGTGTTTCAAATTTCAACACCAAGTGATTCTCTGTTTTGGTGGTGTAGAATTAATGTGTCCTTTAAAGGCTGGTTTTAGGTCAGACTTGTCTTCCACTGAGATTGGGAGAGGGTTACATGTTTGTATCATGTGGTTGTAGTGAGGTAGATATGAGTGGTTCTGGTGAAGGGAAGTATGATAAGTCATATGTTTATCAGTTCCTCCGAAAAGGGTTTGAAAAGCTTTAAAGAATCGAAGGATATGGGGTTAAAAAATTTATCAATCAATTTGGATTGATTTGAGATGGTGTTACTAGTATGATAGATGAATCCTATCAGATTTAAATGGCACTATAATGAACGCAGGACAATTAATGTCAATTAATTGCTCTAGTCATTAGAGGAGACTAATTTGCATATCAATTGTAAATAACAGCTATTTTACAAGGAAAGTCAGTTGAATTCAGTTGTTTGGATTGTGGTGTCCAATAGTCTGTTTTAGAGATGCACTGTATCGATAACCTCATGTTATTCTTTAGAATATGGAGAGAGGGGTTTTGAAGAGCCCCTTGATAGAAAATCTTCTTCGGGATAAAATAACTTGTTGAATAAGTTGTAGGTCAATGTGTAAGTTTATGTATTAAAATATTTTTCTGGTAATGATTTATAATCCTGATGATTACATTTTTTTACTAATTCAGCAGGAAAAGTTATACAAACCCTGAACCCTGAGTTTTCACTGACTTCTCAAGAGAAACTAAGTTGTGACTTGTACAGGTAATTAGATGTGTATCTTCAAAGGGTGTATAAAACATGACATTGCGACTCCAGTGACACTTTGTTGAGGTCCTTCACAATAAAGTGGTTACCAAAGGAAATATATTTCTAAAGATCACAGCTGTATTTCACCTTCCTGTCACTGTTTCAAGTTATAATCACAGGATTTCATAAGCTGCAGGCTGAGTGGCATGTTATTGCAATAGATTTGATAGTGTGTGTTGTTGGGGTAAAATGTTCTGTTGCAGTCTAATGCTATGTAAATGCTTGAGTTGAATAATACTATATGTACTATATCACTGGTAATTTTTTGCTGTCTAGTACCCTCTTCATACACCATACAAAATAGTGATTTGTTACTGGCTCCTTATCTAAAGGCCCAGCAAAGGCTGAATTCTTGTTATATCTATTTAGGCTCTAAAGATCTTATCACTCCCATATCTTAGACACATAGGCTGTGAAAACTGGTTAAAACCTGTTCTTGTTTGTACAATGCTTTAAGAAATTGGAGCCAACTACCCCTTATCTCTCACGTAAGCTTGCCTACCCCTAGGAAGGGTAAACTGCTCTTTGTGTAGATTAAGTATAATTAATCTGTAATAATTAAGTTCCTCTCCGGTTTCATCCTGAGTGTGAGCTTCCCTGCAATTGCTTGAATAAACTCTTATAAATGGAATAATGAGCTCTGCCTGTTCCTTGGAACGAGTTTTCCTCAACAGTGTGATGCTACAGTATTATTTATCCTCTTAAAATGATTATGCCGTAGTACAAAAAACACATTTTTTTAACATATTTTGATTTGGTTGGGTTTTGATGTGAATATCAATGTGGGTAGTATGGGCATGTACTGTACCTCCCTGTTCTATTATTGAAATCCAGGGAATTGTCGGGAGCACACCCCGAAAGTAATTATTTCTCTCTCTCCACTGATTACAGGGAAAGGACACTGCTAAGAGGGTCTATTAATGACCCATAGCATTAGCCAATTAGCTATTTGAGATTCAGGCTTATCAATTTTGAAGTCTACAAGACTGCATTATTTTATCACGAGATGAAAAATCAACATTTGAGGTTGACAAAGCCAAAAGTAGTCGAAAGCTTAGAATTCTAATTAATGAATGTTTGATCAAGGAAATTGATGTTTGACATTCACTGACATGATCTGAAATCTGTGTACTGTACAGTGTGCCAAGGGTGCTGTTATCCTGTCCTATGGTTACAGTTAGTGACAATGACAGGACAGTGAAATAGATTACCAATGAATTTGGAAAAAGGACGGCCATTGTGAAAACGAGGACTTCTTAGGGACGTTTCAGTTCAGTTCGGCATAAAAATGACACTTGAGGTCCTGACATCTGCCCTATTTTAATATTCGTATTCAACAACTGGTTGATGGCTACTAGAGAATATTGCTCCATTTTGACTGGTCACAGGACCCATCAGAAACAGGCTACTGTATAGGACTGTGCTTACAGGCACTGTAGCCTATAGATAAGTATTTTTTCAGCTCTATTTCAATATCATCTGAAATTGATCCACACAAGGTAAATTAAATCCTTAGAACATATCTTTGATACAATGTACCAGATATGCTCCATCATCCATGATTTTTATTTATACTGAGTGGAGTTGATTTAAACGAGAGAGCTTCTGAAGACGTGTAATTTCTGCTGAATGTGTGCTACTCTTGGGAGCCAATTCTGACTACACTTGAATCACGGCCAGTAATTCAACCTTAATACTTTTTTTGTCCTCTCTTGCAAAGCCATGATGATTGTGCTACATTGCCTTTTTGTTACACCAGAAAATGTAAAGTTCACACTGAAATGGTTTTCCTTTTTACAAAAAATGTTGACAACGGCTTGCTGTGATTCTATGCATTTTGTGAAAAGCAAACCAAAGTCTTCTGAATGTTATTTTTCTCTCTACATAGTGTTACTATGATTGACTGAATCCAATTTATGTAGCATTCAGAGACCTTATGCTATTTTTCTCCCATCCCAAGTGGGATCAGTCATTGCCAGCAACATTATATGGAAAATGTACTTTTGAGCTGTCAGAGATGTGTGTGAACTGCCTGGGGTACACTTTAGCTCTGGCTCACCAATAACAGTGTAAATACATGTATAGACAGTGTCTGCTTGGTACATCCAATCCGTCTTTCCCTCTGTATCCATTGTTGGATACATACTGGGTAGCAAATATCCCGTTGTTAGTACTTCAGTTCAGAATCATTAGACTGTTTTTGTTCAGGTTTAGCTAATGCCCTGGTTGCATGTTATTCCATGCATGAATGGTAAACAGAACTGATTTTGCTCCAGGCTCTGAGACACAGAGGTATAGCCAATGACAGGAGGAGGAAGAAGGGTTGGAGGTTTGGATAAAAACACAGACAAAAGCAGAGCGAGAGGAGGAAGGAAGGAAGGAAGGGAAAGGTGTTTGTGAGAGAGGCTGAGCATTAGGTACCAGTTGCTGCTGACATGACACAAAAGTTTGAAAACCAGGGGCCACACCAAATCCCAGCTGGTCAATGAAAGGAGGCTCGTCCTGGCTGTGGATCTGAACCTTGATGCCTGCTTCGTACGAGGTCTCGTCTGTGGATACATACAGCAGGCCAGAAAATGTAACAACAGAAACTTCTGCTTCTCTTCTTACCCGGATTGAAGGCATTAAGTGTTGTATTGGGAAAGGGATGTTTTTTTTTACTGGATATATGTTGTTGTGATAAAGCCAAATGTTGAAATGCACTGTTAAGAAGGAACCCTTTTTCCCAAGATGGAGACATTAAATGTTGTGTTGGATAAGTGTTTGAACTACATTATCTGTTGTTGTAATACTGTACAGGTGAAATTCTGTAATAGGAAGGCACCTTGAATGCATGTCAGTTGGCTGGTTGATTTTCAAAGTTGATTCTACCATGGCCCAAAGTCCAGTCATTACTGCATTAATGGACAGATTAGTTATTGTGGTTCTGACTAAGTGGAGTCATTCGACTGGGTACTCACCTGTCTCTCCCCAAACAGGTAAGTATTCATCCTGTTGGATATCTAACATGATCTCCAGCCCATTTCCTGTCCCGCCTTTTAACGTCGTCAACAACGGGTTGCCGTCCAAACCAGAGTTGAAGGTGTAGCATTTCCCATACCGCGTGTAAATCTGCAAGAAGAAGAAGGTAAATGACATTAATTCAATGTAACAACATTGTTTTGACATAGCGAGTAAACAGCACAGTCACTTTGTGTAATGGTCGCTCTCTGTCTTGCTCTCTGTCGAGACTAATTTACTGTAAGTTGCGGTTGGGGATAGGGTTGCTGGGCAGGTAAGCTTCTCAGGTAATTATCAAAGAAAACACTGAACCAAACAAGATGCTATATAGATTGATGAATGAATAAATTAATTAACACCTGTAACATGGCAACTGGCAATCTTTACCTAGCCCCATTTTGTATTTCCCCTGAGTAATTTAGATACTTCTTTAGGATTTATTTACCATTAAAACAGAAAGTTCTAAGTAAGCAATATAGGCAACCCCACCCCACCCTCTCCCATCCCACCTAACCCTCTCCCATCCCACCAAACACTAAATTAAGTTGTTCAAATACAATGTATTTTATTATGGGCCCTTGGAAAGCATTAATTTATGCCAATGCAGCTCAATGGTAATCTAATATTAAATGTTGGTGCACACTATATTTTACCTGCAGCAAATACCCAGCTAGTTTTACTGATTCAAAGATGTACTGTGCTGATTTTCCAGTATAGCAGCACCATGTTCTTTTAGCACCATCTCTCACAAATTACGTTTCATGTATTTTTCTTCTTCAATTTTACAAATTCTCTCCGAGATGGGCAACTTTGCTCTCATGTCTGCCAGCAGAGCATAAGTAAGCCTTAGGAGCTTCTTACAATGCTGCATCTGGTTTTGCATAACTGACACTCATGGCTGGTGAGCTATAACTTAAAACTAAAAGTTAAAATAGATAACGGCGATAAGGGCTTTAAATTGTAGATCAATTTTGTGTGTAAGTTATTTAATTTCACAGAGGTGGAATTGATTGGCCATGGAGTGCTCTGAGGGTTTTATCTATACTAAGCATGTATGTCATACAGTAATCATCCACATGTATCTTAATAACCACAGGACAGGAAAAGTGATTCATAACTAAGGTATAGGCACATACAGTGTCCATACAGATGTAGGGTCTTAATTTGACATATATTGTCACAGCAAATCTATCCTGCAACAACAGGATTTTAACGTTTTGTCCATAATGTTGCTTGATGGGTGGTTAGGCTATTAGCTGGCCAAAAGTAGGCTACATGAAAAGTGCAATACTATTACTATAACCGTGTGTTAGTGTGGGTTTTCAGTGAATGTATGTAAATCACGAAGTTCATCTGCATTTCCTGCGGTGCAGGAAACTTCTCAGCAACAAAAGAGTGATCCAATTAAGATCCTACATCTGTACAGATGGACATATTGTACATCCAATATCATGGGATGAGACCTGCTTGCCTCTCTTGTTTTGCTATTTCAACTACCATGTAAAAGGTACACCCGTTTGTTGGGAGAATTTTGTCTCATCTAACTAAGAAGGCCTTATGATGGATAAGGTCACCACTAATTTTACACTGCCAACTCCCATTTGGTTTGAGCGGGGCTTAATATGTCAGTATTTAATAGCCACTGACAGACATTAGCATGGTCCAGACAAGCCCTTTGCTGGAATAATCAACATTGCTGTTCCTGGCTCAATGCTCTGGTCCCACAGCTATACGTTTGAAGAGAAACAGGTAACCCATAGGGAGGAATCCTATGCCGTGGGCTACAGATTTTCCTTTCAATATCCATTGTGGTGAAAGTTTTAGAGAGAGGGATGCCTCTGACAGCATATTAAAGCCTCTCTCCAGAGATCAGAGTCAGTCTTCCATGTCCCATCTCAGACCCACATGGGCTCAGACAGACATGACAGGGCTTCAGTTTCCTCTCTCCTCCTGTCCATAATGAGGCCCTCTGAGCAACCGGCCCCTGCCAGAACCAAAATGGCAGCTGGAATTCTAAAGCTTTTAGGTTTAACCTTAGAAAATCCATAGCTTCAATATAACATAATTCCTATAATGAAGCCTTGCATGCCTCACATTGAAGTACCTAATCTTTGTGGAAAATCTTTGTCAAAGCTGTCAAAAGATGGCACCTAAAGACAAAAGTCTTCTTTTAGATGGAATTTGATATAATCCAATAAAACTTGAAATGACACACAATCAAAATCTCTGTGTCTGTCAGCTACTTAAAGGGATAGTTCACCCAAATTATAAAATTAAATATTGGTTTCCTTACTCTGTAAGCCGTCTATAGACAAGGTATGACGCAATCCCATGCTTTTGGTTTAGGTTCCCTGGCACTGGGTTTTAGGCATGCAACGTTTTGCATTTGTGGCACAAATCCCATTACCTTGAATGGGATTTGTGCCACAAATTCTAAAACGTTAGCATGTGGAAACAGTGCCAGGGAAACTAAACCACGCATGGATTGCTGTCATACCTTGTCCTAGACTGCTTACAGGTAGGAAACCAATTTGTCATTTTGTAATTTGGGTGAACTATCTCTTTAAACACAGATCCCAAGTTGTCTATTCATATTTTTTCAAATCCTATACTGTTGATAAAGTGTTTAAGTCTAGTTTGCTTTTGAATGTGACTAACAATGACATTTTCTTTTCATGTATAATTTTGCATCAATCTGTTTTAAGACGGCTAATAGCTTTGAGGTAGAATGATTGAGAGTAACCAACTGTTACAGACTAGTGCAGTCAGGGGCTTATTTTGACTGATAAGCCATCCACCTCTCTGGGAAATAAGCTCATGAAATGGATGCACAGTGTCAATAGAACGTCCAGATGTTTAATTTGAGATGCTGAAACTTTCATTAGTACTCATTTATAATGTTTGAATTATTGATGCCTTCATTATTCTTCCCTCTAGTTGTTGCTGCTGTTAAAAGAAAGGGACACAAAGACAAAGATGGAGTGGTTTGAATAGTAGTTACTAAAATTCATGTTTTGAGAGGTAATGTGAATGTTATACTGTACCACTGTGCTTTGAAAATCATCCAACATGCAAACAATATGTAACTGTGATCTATGTTAGCAAAAAAAAAAGGAACAGTATTTCTACCCGATCAGTACCATCCTATAAACTGTGTGTATCTGTATTCTTTGTATTCTTACAATTCACTGAACAACTATTATGTTGTATAAGCAAAACAAAAGAAAAGGACAAGACAAATTCATCTGACATGATACCGGTAGCTAGCCTTAAAACTTCAATGCCTTCAACCTTGCCTAGAGAATACCTGCTGGTGTGAATATCATTCAAACACACCATTGAATGAATTATTAATACCTTGTACACAAAATGCATATCAACAACCCCTCACAGACATCTTTCGTGATATCTCTAGGCTATATTACTTTACATACGGTGCTGAAGTTCTGGTGAGTACATTTTCTCCCCCGGAACCTGCATTCCAGCAACATGTCCTCCAGTTGGTGGCCCAGCCTGCCAATCATCTCGGTGGTGTTGACATGGTAACGAGGAGGCGGAGTGTAGCCGTTGAAGTCCAGCAGGCTGAGAAGGTTGTACTTGTGGTTGTCCCTCAGAAGGGCCAGGCTCCTCTCCATGACCGTGTGGTTCTGGTGCATCAGGTCCATCCAGTAGCCGCTGTGGTACAGGTCAACCTTGGTCAGACTGGACACCCGGAACAGGTTGTGGTTGCAGAAGGTCACGGCCGGGAAGGACATGTTGTGAGCCCACTCCATCTTAATCTTGGTGACGGCTGGGTAGGACATCAGGTAGAGGATGCGGTTCCAAGACCAGGTGAACAAGAGACTCACACACACAAAAAAGGCCAGGAGCCAGAGGATCCGCTGGGGCAGGGTCTTTTCCGGGGAGAAGACGAACATCAGACCGTGGACCCTGGTCCTCCTCATGAAAGCTACGGTGGTCTCCATCCATGATTGTTTCAGCATGCTCTTCCTCCTCTTTCCTGTTTTGTTCTGGATAGTGGTCTCCTGGGCATCGTTAGGTAGAGACCCAGGGCTGATTGATTCTGATGTGGGGGCTATTACCATAATGATCTCTGTTCCAAGGCTACACATATGGTTCATGCCAAAAGGCAGTCTTTTTAGTCAAGCTTTGGGCTTTTCATTTTACATACAGAAATCATGATGGGTTCTCTGGTTGAATTGGTGTCATAAATTCCAGGCAAAATATAATATCCTTTTCGATGCTCCAGATACACACAGCTGTCCAGTACTTAGGCTTGAAAAGTCTTTGCAAACCAAGCAAACAAAAGGCATGTACTGTACTGTACTTTTTAGGGATACACAACTGATTGATTTACATCATGATTTAATAAAAAAAGCCGCATTCATTTCTCGAACGATAGAATTCTTCTTTGAATTATCCAACACCAGTCTCTCATCAACAGATTAATGGGTGTGATAATAACATGTTGCAGATGCAGGGGTCTAGTTCAATTCCAGAAGCAATCAGTCACTTAGGAAATGTGTAAAGACATACCCCTGTTGCTCAGATGTTGTTTCACTCTTTTTCCTCATCACCTCCTTCTTCATCTCTGCAATGAGACAATGCTGCTCCCAGTTTCCAGTGGTTCGTGCCTTTTGTGCAGAAGCTGCCTAGAAAGCACTCAACTCCTCCTTCCAGATTAGCTGGAGGAGATAGTTTTGGTCTTTGGACTTAAAGCAGGAATATAGAGCTATTTTACCCCCTCACTCTCTTCTCTCTACAGCCGAAATGGAAATGAGGTGGAGCCAATGAGTGAAATTGTTTTTCTCCAGTGCTTCTACATCTGCATTGCTTGCTGTTTGGGGTTTTAGGCGGGTTTCTGTATAGCACTTTGTGACATCTGCTGATGTAAAAAGTGCTTTATAAATAACATTTGATTGATTGATTGATGGAATAGGCACTCCAATTATGGCACAGATGAGAGTGGTTAAGGGAAAATGTATTTCCACCACACACACATACATATTAAGAGTACTCCAGAATAAAATACAGCAAAAAGTCCTAATGCAACAAAGAAGGGCTGATTCCATCCACTGATATCTACACTCTGCTAGTGCTGCAAAAGTAGCAGTTTGTTCACATGGATCGATAAAAACTGTATTATTGATAAACCAGGGAACAGCAAACCAGATACTAACCAATAGGCAAAAACTCAAATTACACCCTCAGAATTCTAGTTGAAAATGAAATGTATTACAGTAATTCAGCAATATCAAATATCACTTTTACTACTTATTTGTGGTTCTACGGGTCTTAGGCAGTTCTATATTTTAGTTTCACAAATAAAGTGCAATGAAACACAGGGAGCTCCTACACAATTAACAGATATGAAGAAAGCACCATTCTGTTGATTTGTTCAGACAGCCTCGCAGAGCCTCAAGAGCCAGTTAGGCAGAGAAAATTGGACCCAAGAGTATTGAGATCCATGTCATTTAATGACATAATCAGCACAGCACTTTTCTTTTCTTTTTTTTTTTGGGGGGGGGGGGGGGATGTAGATCAGCTTAATATTGCAGACAGATTGTAACTTCCATCAATGTAATTGTCTGCATCACTTCCAATCCCCCATGTTTATTATATATATACGTATATACAGTGGGGAAAAAAAGTATTTAGTCAGCCACCAATTGTGCAAGTTCTCCCACATAAAAAGATGAGAGTGGCCTGTAATTTTCATCATAGGTACACGTCAACTATGACAGACAAAATGAGGAAAGAAAATCCAGAAAATCACATTGTAGGATTTTTTAAAGGAATTTATTTGCAAATTATGGTGGAAAATAAGTATTTGGTCAATAACAAAAGTTTCTCAATACTTTGTTATATACCCTTTGTTGGCAATGACACAGGTCAAACGTTTTCTGTAAGTTTTCACAAGGTTTTCACACACTGTTGCTGGTATTTTGGCCCATTCCTCCATGCAGATCTCCTCTAGACCAATGATGTTTTGGGGCTGTCGCTGGGCAACACAGACTTTCAACTCCCTCCAAAGATTTTCTATGGGGTTGAGATCTGGAGACTGGCTAGGCCACTCCAGGACCTTGAAATGCTTCTTACGAAGCCACTCCTTCGTTGCCCGGGCGGTGTGTTTGGGATCATTGTCATGCTGAAAGACCCAGCCACGTTTCATTTTCAATGTCCTTGCTGATGGAAGGAGGTTTTCACTCAAAATCTCATGATACATGGCCCCATTCATTCTTTCCTTTACACGGATCAGTCGTCCTGGTCCCTTTGCAGAAAAACAGCCCCAAAGTATGATGTTTCCACCCCCATGCTTCACAGTAGGTATGGTTTGGATGCAACTCAGCATTCTTTGTCCTCCAAACACGACGAGTTGAGTTTTTACCAAAAAGTTCTATTTTGGTTTCATCTGACCATATGACATTCTCCCAATCCTCTTCTGGATCATCCAAATGCACTCTAGCAAACTTTAGACGGGCGTGGACATGCACTGGCTTAAGCAGGGGGACACATCTGGCACTGCAGGATTTGAGTCCCTGGCGGCGTAGTGTGTTACTGATGGTAGGCTTTGTTACTTTGGTCCCAGCTCTCTGCAGGTCATTCACTAGGTTCCCCCGTGTGGTTCTGGGATTTTTGCTCACCGTTCTTGTGATCATTTTGACCCCACAGGTGAGATCTTGCGTGGAGCCCCAGATCGAGGGAGATTATCAGTGGTCTTGTATGTCTTCCATTTCCTAATAATTGCTCCCACAGTTGATTTCTTCAAACCAAGCTGCTTACCTATTGCAGATTCAGTCTTCCCAGCCTGGTGCAGGTCTACAATTTTGTTTCTGGTGTCCTTTGACAGCTCTTTGGTCTTGGCCATAGTGGAGTTTGAAGTGTGACTGTTTGAGGTTGTGGACAGTTGTCTTTTATACTGATAACAAGTTGAAACAGGTGCCATTAATACAGGTAACGAGTGGAGGACAGAGGAGCCTCTTAAAGAAGAAGTTACAGGTCTGTGAGAGCCAGAAATCTTGCTTGTTTGTAGGTGACCAAATACTTATTTTCCACCATAATTTGCAAAAAAATTCAATAAAAATCCTACAATGTGATTTTCTGAATTTTTTTTTCTCAATTTGTCTGTCATAGTTGACGTGTACCTATGATGAAAAATACAGGCCTCTCTCATCTTTTTAAGTGGGAGAACTTGCACAATTGTTGGCTGACTAAATACTTTTTTCCCATTGTACATACACACATACATACATACATACATACATACATACATACATACATACATACATACATACATACATACATACATACATACACACATAAACACACATACACATATACATATATACATACATACATACATACATATACATACATACACTTACATACATACAGACATATATACACATACATGTCCTTTAAAAAATGTATATTCCCCTTTATTACTTTCCAACCCCACCACCCTTTCCCTGATTGGAGTAAACTAGTGAACAACAATGCTTAGGCCTCTACATCCAGCTTATACTTACTATATACATTTTATGGACACAGTCAATTTTACAATAATTATATTTTGTTTGTTTTTTCTCCTGAACTGCTTCTACTCTCAACCTCTCCGATCATTTTCACGATGTCCATCCGGTTTGCTTCTATATGCCATATCTTTCTAATTGTGCTCTTTCACAAAAGCTCCCAACCTACAACCTATATACTTATTATGGACACAGTATGCATACATTATTAGTTATTTTGTTATTAGTTGTTGTTAGTTGTTATTAGTCCTGTCCTTCAACTCCATTCAACACCACCCATCTATCTCTTAACACCATCCATATAGGATTTCTATTTGCCATATATTTTTCAACTGTACTGTGATGTTTTACAAAAGTTCTGAACCTTTCTATTCTCATTGTTTCTACAGATTGTAAATTGAAAATAAACATTTTTGCTAAAAGTATTATTATATTATTGATCGATTGACTATGACTTTTCAGATCACCCAGTAATGCTATCTGCAAGGTTAGCCATTCCTGGACCTGTGTCCAAAAACAAGCTACAAATGGACAGTACTAAAACAAATGATCTAATGATTCTATCTCTTCGCAGCTAAATCTGCAGAGCTGGGAAGATTGTATCCCCCACATAAATTACATTCTATTGGTAGGATAATTTTATATAATAATTTAAATTGAAAGATTATTTGTTTTGAATCCGGTGTCGTTTTGCGTATCAGTTCATAAAAACTATGCCATTGGATCGGTACGTCAAAAATCTCTTCCCAAGTATTTTGCAATCTATATGGGACGGCTGTCAATCCGTTGGTCCTTAAATGAAACTTATATACTTTTTTATTTATCACAGTTTTCTTTAACCAATTATGTTCTTTAATGCAAGGCCGACAGACAAGTTCCTTACTTTCTCCCCCTTCCATTTTTGCGGTAAGGCTGCAATTATTTGGTTGTAATTTTGGGTAGAGCAGACATTTCCATATGTTTTTGTTAGCTGCATGTGCGACATAACTCCACCAGTCCTAACGATTATATAATTTACGAAGATTATACTATATATTTATTTTTTGGTCCCAAATTTTTTTGGGGGGTCAATTAGTACATTTGAGTTTAATCACAATATTGGTTGCATTATTTGTTCTGTCATTTCTGGAGGATTAAATTGAAATTGCAACCAACTTTCTATGGCTTGTTTTAGAAATAGTGATATTTGGGAGATGATTTCCTTTTCAAATAACTGAAATTGAGAGGTTGTAATCTGAATAAAGGGAAAAAGGCCATTCTTAAACATTGGGTGAGACAATTTTACTAATTTGCTAGAGAACCAGTTTGGATTTCAGTATAACTTTTGTATGACTGAAGCTTTTAGTGATAGGTCTAATGCTTTAATATTTAATAATTTCTGTCCTCCGAATTCATATTCATTATATAAATAGGCCCGTTTAATTTTGTCTGGCTTGCCGTTCCAAATACAATGGAACTGTTCGCTAGGCGTAGGCAAGACCATAAGCAAATAGGTAAACTGGGATAATACTAATTATAAAGTGTTAATCAGGGTAATTTTTCCACAAATTGACAGGTATTTACCTTTCCATGGTAGCAAG